TTATTATATATATATATATATATATATATATATATATAGGCAGACCTTCACCTCCTGGGGTTTCCGTATGTATGTGTATATATATATATATATATATGTATGTATGTATATGTGTATATGTATATGCGAATGACCCACTCCCCCGAAAGGAGCTGTGCAGTCACATCTGAGTACATAATTTTGGCCCTGTGAAGCTCTGAAATCCTTCATTAATGTCCCACACTACGTCTGACCTAGTGAATGGATAAAACAATAGTAGGTGAAATGCACTGTTGATAAACGTGAAGTAATGCACAGTGAAAGGAAAAATTTAATTTAAAACTTTATAAGGTATATGAGTAATTGAGTATCAACTCAAGAAAAATATCTAGGCATCCTTGGAGGACAGCTCAGTAAAGTACTTTGCAGCTAGTCTAAACAAAGAAAGATGTTAGGAGCATAAGAAATGGGGTGGAACATAAAACAATGGCATTAGAAGTCTATGGTTTACCCTTATCTAGAATACTGTATGCAGAAAAGGAGATAGTAGATAGGGCTCTTCCTGTCAATGTAACATTTGAAGACCTAATCGGGGGCTTAATTTGCTATGGTATAAGGCTCCCTCCGTCCCCCCCTGACTTTTCATAGGTCTATATCCTCCATGATGTCTTCCATTTCTTGCCCCCTCACTTCCCCCCCTGGACTTTGCAGGGTATAATATAATCACATATAATATTCTATATGCTGATACAATTCCCCCTCCCCCTGTGATTTTTTTCTGAAATGACACCTCTGAACCTAATAAATATGTATAACTGAAGACTCAGAATTCTTCCTGTCCAGTTACTGTGAGGAAATCTACCACGTTCCTGTAGAAAATCTCTACAGATCTTAATAAGTGTCCAGTATTCTTCTATTAAGTTTGTATAGTCATTACTCTTTAGAGGAAGGCTACTGTGAGGGAACAAGTCTCAACAAAGGGTTGATAGGACCTTTAAAGATAACCTACAAAGGGAAGGGAAAAATTGGGCTTATGCCACTTTTATTTAGTTTTATTTTGTATAAAGAAGGCTTGAGAGTCTTCCTCGCACTTCTTTTAATTAGAAATAGCAATCATATTGAATTTTCCCTTTTTTTTGTTGGAGGACTTCTTGGCTGACTCTTATATCCTGGGACCTTAATTGAAGAGGAATGGGTATTGAATCCTTGAACTTTTCTCGTGTGGCTCTTGTTAAACTCCTTTTTTTTTTAAAACATTTATTTAATAATCTGAATAAAAATCACTTCCCCTCTAAATCAATCAGTTTCACTACCTTGGTATCTGGGATGTATAATCCTCAAGGACCTGCATTTCAAATTGTTTTCTTTTTTTTTTTAACATTATTAAAATTAGCATATATTAGAAAAGAAAAAAATGGGTTTGTGTCTTTTTAGGACATCTTTAAGAAATCCGTTGGTCTTTATCTGCATAGTTCTTTGTCTCAATTATTAATATTAAAAAGCTGAAGTACTTTTAAAATGGATGGAGTTCTGTAATGACTGAAGGCTTTTAAAAACCTATTAAAATAATATTTTATATTTTATATAATGAATGAATTGGGGCAGTCTTGTCTTGTTCTGCTTAGAAAGTTAGTTTCCTCGTGTTTCAAAATTTTATTCCAAATGTGAAATTGAGAGAGGTAGGACAGATTGGCAATTAAATTCAATTTCTCTAGTGAGCAGTATTTCTGACTCATGATCTAAGATGGTGTCCTCCTGTGTGGACTATTGATCTTGTATATCAATCGAAGTATCAGAGGGGTAGCCATGTTAGTCTGAATCTGTAAAAAGCAACAGAGGGTCCTGTGGCACCTTTAAGACTAACAGAAGTATTGGGAGCATAAGCTTTCGTGGGTAAGAACCTCACTTCTTCAGAAGCAAGTAATGGAAATTTCCAGAGGCAGGTATAAATCAGTATGGAGATAATGAGGTTAGTTCAATCAGGGAGGGTGAGGTGCTCTGCTAGCAGTTGAGGTGTGAACATCAAGGGAGGAGAAACTGCTTCTGTAGTTGGATAGCCATTCACAGTCTTTGTTTAATCCTGATCTGATGGTGTCAAATTTGCAAATAAACTGGAGCTCAGCAGTTTCTCTTTGGAGTCTGGTCCTGAAGTTTTTTTTGCTGTAAGATGGCTACCTTTACATCTGTTATTGTGTGGCCAGGGAGGTTGAAGTGTTCTCCTACAGGTTTTTGTATATTGCTATTCCTGATATCTGACTTGTGTCCATTTATCCTCTTGCGTAGTGACTGTCCAGTTTGGCCAATGTACATAGCAGAGGGGCATTGCTGGCACAAGCCTATGATCCTGAAATTGACCAAAATGGACCCTGAATTTGGTAGAGCTCTGCCCATTGCCTATGGCCACTGTATCTTTCCTTTCTCATTTGAGTAGTAGTCAGGAAATCCAATTTTTGATGGTTAGATGATGGGAACTTGTTCAAGGGGAGTTAGCCTGGCAGACAGAACCACTCTACTTGCTTGAGGGATACAATTGGTACACTTGAGGGTACGTTAGTACATAAACCCTTCCCCCACAATAAAGTAGGTATTGATTAACTTTTCTGAGGCCTTACTCTTAAGGTTACCATATTTTGAGTGTCCAAAAAGAGGACACTCCACGGGGCCCCGGCCTTGCCCCCGCCCCAACTCCACCCCTTCCCCAAAGTCTCCGCCCCCTCCCCTGCTTCCCGCGAACATTTGATTCGCGGGAAGCCTGAAGCAGGGGTGGGGGTGGGGGGAGGAGGCGCGGCCCAGTCTGGCCCCCGCAACCGAGCGGCTCCCTCCGGCCCCGGCGTCTCCAGCCTGGCTTGGCTCGGGCCCTGGGGTGCCGGCCCAGGGCCGGCCCCTGGCCCGGCACCGCCGGCCCCTGGCCCGGCACCGCCGGCCCCCGGCCCGGCCCAGCACCCCCGGCCCTGCACAGCCGGGCCCGGCCCAGCATCCCCTGGCCCCGCATGTCCCTATTTTCCCGGACATGTTTGGCTTTTTGGGATTTCCCCACGGACAGGGATTTGAGG